GAGTGGTGAGCGGACTGGTGAGTGGTGAAGGGACGAGTGGTGAGGCGAGCGTGGTGAGGGTGAACTGGTGATGGGTGGATGTGGTGACCTGTGGTGAGGGCTTGAGTGGCAAGTGGTGAGTGGTGAGTCGGTGATTGGTGAGGTTGTGATTTTTTCTGTGATTGGTGAGGCCATGAGCTGGTGAGTGGTGAGCGCGTGAGTAGTTGAGGGTCCTGAGTTGCTGAAGCCCGGTGAGGGTGAAGTGGTTGTTGTGAGCGGTGAGTGGTGAGTCGGTTGAAGGTGAGCTGAGTCGGTGAGCGGTGAGGCTGTGAGTGGTTGATTGTTGAGGTGTGCATTGGTGCGGAATGCAGTGGTGAGTAGTGAGGGTGAGTGGTGACGGTGAGTGGTGAGGGTGAGTGTTGAGGGTGAGTGGTGAGTGGTGAGGGTGAGTGGCGGTTATGAGTGGTGATTAGTGAGGGGTGAGTGGTGAGGGTGAGCGTGAGTGGTGAGGGTGAGCAGTGCGGGTGAGTGGTGATTGGTGATTGGTGAGGGTGTGATTGGTGAGGATGAGTGGTGAGTGGTCAGGGTGAGTGGTGAGGGTGAGTGGTTGTTGTGAGGGTGAGTGGTGAGGATGAGTGGTGAGGGTGAGTGGCGGTTGTGAGTGGTGATGGGTGAGTGGTGAGCGTAGAGGGGTGAGTGGTGAGCGTGAATGGTGAGGGTTAGTGGAGAGTGGTGAGTGGTGATTGGTCAGTGGTGATTGGTGAGGATGAATGGTGAGTAGTGAGGGTGAAGTTGAGTGGTGAGGGTGAGTGGTGGTTGTGACGGTGAGTGGTGAGGGTGAGTGGTGAGGGTGAGTGGTGAGGCTGAATGGTGAGGGTGAATGGTGAGAGTGAGTGGTGAGTGGTGAGGGAGAGTGTTGAGTGAGAGTGGTGACGGTTAGTGGTGAGGGTTAGTGGTGAGAGTGAGTGGTGAGGGTGAGTGGTGATTGGTGAGTGGTGAGGGTGAGTGGTGAGGGTGAGTGGTGAGGGTGAGTGGTGATGGAGATTGGTGAGGGAGGTTGGTGAGTGGTGAGTTGTGAGGGTGAATGATGAATAGTGAGTGGGAGTGGTGAGTGGTGAGGATGAGTGGTAAGGGTGAGTTGTGAGTGGTGAATGGTGAGGGTGAATGATGAGTACAGTCAATATGCACTGCTGTTATCATACCAGGTACCACCACCACAATATGTACTCCTCTCATCATAGCAGATACCACCACAGCAGTATACACTGCTGTAATCATAGCAGGTACCAACACAGCAGTATGCACTGCTGTAGTGATAGCAGGTACGACCTCAGTCGGTATACACTGCTGTAGTGATAGTAGATACTGCTATCGAGTTGGTAGATACCGCTATAGTAAATACTAAAACAGTCAGTATATACCACTACAGTCAGTCAATACTGCTACAGTCAGTATATACTACTATACAGTCAGTACATACTGCTACGGTGAGTAGCTACTAGAGTCAGTAGATACTATTATAGAGTGAGTAGATACTGCTATAGATTTTGTAGTTACTACTATAGTCAGTGGATACAACTATAGAGTCAGCAGATACTATACAGTTAGTCGTTACGAGTATATAGTCGGTAGATACTACTGTAGGCCCAGTAAATACTACTATGGTCAGTAGTTATTACAGTCACTAAATACAGTCAGTAGCTACTACTGGCTCAGTAGATACTACGGTACAGTCAGTAGATACTACTACAGAGTCAATAGATACCACTTCCTCTGTTGTATGTAAGGTGTTGTTAGTATATATACCTACGAGGGGTAAAGATATTTTTTGAGGGGGGGGGGGAGACCACAATTTTCGGAAACATTTTGACATCAACTATTTACCCCACACTTTCTACAACTTTTTGGACTTGTGAAAGCCTCTTATATATTTGTTGGTGGAGAAATGTACAAACAGCCCACCGGGCTTTGACAATACCTTAGTATCTGTGTATATATATGTAAGGTTTTTAAGAAATATATTTTTCACCCGGGCAAAGCCGGGTACTTCCGCGAGTCTTATATATAAAAGTCTCCGCGCGCTGGCGCTTGCGGGGGATTTGGCTCTCGGACGGTGGGGTTTAAGACCAAAATAATTTGCCAGGCGGCACGCCCTAATAGGCTATTCCGTTTTCGCATCCGTAAACTTTAAAGTACTTTATTTATCACATTTGTGCGGTTTCTATTATTCATTATTTTTTTATTGCGCGCCGTCGACCGTACCAAGTGACGCCAATTGCGTGGGGGGGGGGGGGGGGAGCGGACCCTACCAAGTCATGCGCCTTCGCTCGAGCTCTCGGGGGACATTTTCTTTTACGCGTTTTACACCCAACACATGCACACATCACGCTGCCGATATTTATTCACAGTGTCATGTCCTCTTCGACCCCCACCCCCAACACGATGCGTCCAGTTTATACTACAGACTCCGTAGATAATAATATTTTACTGCTTAGATAGAATTATTCTTGCACGGGCGGGGGATGCTGGGGAGGGGGGGTAGCGGCCCAGCCCCTAGCCTGGCAACGTGCCAACTCCGCAGCCTCGCCAATGTAGGCCAGAAGAGGGGCTACGCATGGCACAAGGCCTCAACATGGCTATAGTAAGTACAAAGTTCCTTGCATCTTACGCTAACAACTCAAGTCCATTGTTTACTTTTGTTAAACACATTAGTTGACAAACATTACAATAATAATGTTTGTGTGCAGATAAAAACTCAGCTTCATTGTTAAAAATTATGAAACAAGTTCACAGATGTTACAATAATTACGTTTTTGTGAAGATAACAACTCAAGTTATTTGTTTACCATTATGAAACAACTTGACATGTTACAATAATTATGTTTGTGTACACAAAACTCTTTTTGGATTTTTGGGTTGCTCAATTTCCCCTTTTTTTGCTGCGCTTTTATAACGCTGCCACGGTCTACTGCCAGTCTGTGATTTCTGCTTATTTCTTCAATGCATTTCTATTCTTTCCATCGCTCACGTCACGCTATTTACTCATACGTAGTACTGCGATACTGATAGCTGTGCCATCATCGGGGATTGCTGTGCCCGTCGATGTGTGTGTGTGAGTCCATGTGTGTGTCTTTCAGTCCATATGTGTGTGCGTGTAGAGCCATGCGTGTCTTTAACTCCATGTGGGTGTCTTTTTCGAATGGACAACGTCAAAGTGTTTATGTGTGTGTGTTAGTCCATGTGTGTGTGTCAGTCGATTTGTGTGCTTGTACGTCGATGTGTTTGTCAGCCCATATGTGTGTGTGTTAGTCCACATGTGTGTGTAAGTCTATACACGTGTGTGTCACTCGATGTGTGTGTGTGTAAGTCAATGCGTCTGTGTGTGACTCCATATGTGTGTTAATCCATGTCTGTGTATCTAAAGTAGATATCTGTGCGTCACAGTCCATATGTGTATGTGTGTGTAGGGCTATGTTTGTGTCAGTCTATGTTTGTGTAAGTTCATGTGTGTGTGTCTTAGTCCATATGTGTGTGTGTAAGTACATATGTGTGTTTACGTCAATGTGTGTTTTAGTCCACGTATTGCTGTGTGCAAGTTGGTGTGTGTGTGAGTCGCTGTATGTGTGTACGTCCATATATGTGTGTGCAACTCCATGTGTGTATATCTCAAGTGGATGTCTGTGTGACAGTCCACATGTGTATGTGTGTGTACGGCAATGTGTGTGTCACTCTACGTATGTGTGTGTGTCGCTGTATGTGTGTACGTCGATATGTGTGTGTAACTTCATGTGTGCGTATC